TACGAATTTAATTAATACCTTGATATTATTGCTGTCTGTTAATATCATTGCCAGTCGATCGATACCCATACCCCAGCCAGCTGTTGGCGGTAAACCATATTCCAGTGCCGTGCAAAAACTCTCATCAATCACCTGTGCTTCATCGTCACCTGCTTGTTTTGCCTGTAATTTACATTACTGTCAATCGGTCGATACTCATACCCCAGCTAGCTGATGGTTCCACTTTTTTATATTACAACTTTTTAATCTTTTTCAACTATTTTTGAATTTAATTGTAAAAAATTTTCCCTTTCCTATCTTATTTTCCCTCCCTTCCTTTTCCTTATCATCTCTGAACACCATGACCGTCATACTGACGAGGACCAGTCGCAGTGTTGCTCTAAGACGTATATGACTTAATGGACCGAAACATCTTAACTCATTCGTACTTAGTTTTTGCACACTAACTATATTTCTACATCCAACCATACATAGTTCGCTCCATGCTTACCCTATTTGAGTTCTTAACATTACCCGCATGCTATAATTATGATACAATCAGCTTAGCATAAAACAAAAAAACATGTTAAACTACAAAAAAAACTGGTAAAAAAAATGAACTTCTCTTCTCCGAATTATCCCAGTTATTAATAATACATTTTTAAAAAAAACTAGCAAGTATGGCTCAGTGGCGAATATAGCCCTCATGACAAAGCTTGGGGGTTCAATTCCGCCAGTGAAGCAACAAATCCCTTCCCAATTCATACATCAATTCTGACAGAAAATTAGTACTGGTACATAACAAAGAATCGCCATCAATTCGCTTCTATGCAAGCTAAGAAGGGAAAGAAACTTACAGTTTTGTCAATATCTTTTTTTTGCATTTCCCCCGTATCCAGACTAAGCCCGGCAAAAATCGTCCAGTCGGTAAATTTGGGACATGTCACAGTTTTATAACAGAAAGTTATAATGGGGAAGAATGGGAAAAAAGGGAAAAAAAAAGGAAAAGGAAGGTTAACTTTACACATTAACTAATTACTTTTCATGCACATTAACTAAT